GCTTCTGTGCATTTGTGTAATTTCTAAAATTCCATTGGTTGTTGTCTTCTGTTTTTACTCCATCGTGGTAAAAGATGCTGGATGTGATTTCACTGTTTTGAATTTGTCAAGACTTGTTTTGTGGTTTATTTTAGAAAACATTCCATGTGCTAATGAAAACATTGTATATTATGCGGCTCTTAGAGGGCATTTATCCTGTAAATATCTGTTAAATCCATTTGATCTGTACTAGTTTAATTCTGTTATTTTTTTGTTGATGTTTTTTGGTCTAGATGGTCTGCCCACCAATAAAAACGGTGTCGAACTGTTCCACTGTTGTCATATGGAGCCTGTCTCACTCACCCTGAGGTCTAAGAGTTTCTATAAAATTGAGCGAGTATTGTATTTTGTTGAGTCAATCCTTTGGTCATTATATAGTAGCCTCTGTTTCTTCTTACATTTTGTCGTGGTGTCCATTTGGTCAGCTACAGTATTGCTTGCTCCTGCTTGCCTAGGATTCCATTGGCTTGGAGTGTCATTTTTCCATCCTTTTACTTTCAGTCTTGTGAAGTTTCTTACTGGCAGCATGTTGCTGACTCTTGTTTTTTTTTTTTTTTCCCTGAATCCATTCACCCAGTCTGTATCTTTTAATTGGAAACGTAATCCATTTTAGTCCGTTTACATTGGAGTTTATTTTATTTAATTAATTTATTTAGTTTTTGGTAGCGGGGATTGAACTCAGGACTGTGCACCTTAGAGACAGGCACAGTGCCGTTGATTTACATCCCCAGCCCTGGAGTTTATTATTGATAGGTAAAGGACTTATTCTTGCCATTTTGTTTGTTTTCTTCTAGTTGTTTTGGATGTTCTTTTTCTCTTTGCTTTATCTTTTATATATCTATTTGGCAATTTATTGATAATGTTTCATTCTTTTTAATTTCTATTTTGTGTTTTTACTCTTTGAGAGAGATTTTTGCTTTCATGATGGTAATCTTTCACTTCTGGATGTAGGACTTCCTTATGCGTCTTTTATAAGTTTTATGGTCTGTTAGTCATGAATTCCTTCAGTTTCTGCTTAGGCTGGTAGATCTATATAACTCCTTCATTTCTGAAGGATTGTATGTCTGGGTGTAGTAATGTGGTTGGCTGTTTTGTTTTTCCTTTCTCTCAGGACTTGGAAAATGTCAGTCCACTTCCTCCTGGCTTATAGGGTTGCTGTTGACAAGTCTGCTGTTTGTTTAATGGAGCTGCCACTAAATGTGACTTGGAGTTCTTCTCTTGCAGATTTAAAATTTCTTTCTTGTGTTACACTTTTGACAATATGAATGTAATATACTGTGAGGAAAGCCCTTTCTGGTCGTGTCTACTAGGAGTCTTATAGGTCTCTTGAATGCGAAAGTCCATGTCTTGCACAAATTTAGGGACATTTTCTGCTGTTACTTCATTGAACAGATTCTCTATGTCCTTTTTTCTCCTTGTCTTCAGGTATTCTGAAAATGTTGATACTTGTTCATTTAGTGTAGAAGTAGCTGCACCAGAGTCTCAAATGCTTGTTTTACTTTTAGTTTTGCCTTTTTTCTTCTTTCCTTCACAAGTGTATTTCTAAAGGCCTGTCTTCAAGTTCAGATACTTTCTTCTGCTTGCTCTAGTTTGCTACTGAGGCTTTTAACTATGTTTTTATTGATGTTATTTAATTCCCAAGGTTTCTGTGTGTTTTCCCCAAAATGTCCTATTGCTTTGGATTTCTCAGGTATTATCTTACATTGTTTTCCCAATTTCATCTGTTTATCTTTATTCTCTTAGGCGTCGTTGTCCTTTTTTATAACCATTCTTTAACATTGTTTTGCAGCATTTTATCTCTTTATTTTTGGGGAATCTATTGATGGAATTATTCTTTTGGAAGCATGGTCTTATTTTTGTATGGTCTTGGCTTCCTGTGTTGAGATTTGTACGTCAAGTAGATAAGATACTTCTACTTTCATAGGATGGTTTTTTTTTTTGTTTGTTTGTTTGTTTGTTTGTTTTTTTATACCGGGGATCAAACGCGGGACCTTGTGCTGGTGAGGCAGGCAGCAGAGCCACTGAGCTAAATCCCCAGCCCAGGCTGGAGTTCTTAATGAGCAGCTTTTTCTCCAAATGTGTCTTGGCTTGTGGATTTGTTATTCATTGTTGGCAATGTGCTGCATTGGGGTACCGTGATGTGTTTTGCTGTCACTTTTTGGCCGTGATTGATGACGTCAGGCATGGTACACGTTCTGGTAGAGTTGGAGAGACCTGCTATCTCTGGGGTCATACAAGGCGTGGGACCCTTTAGCAGTTCAGGTAGGTGTGGTGTAGACGGCCAAGTATGTGATGTACACTTTGTGCTGCTACTCCTATACTGGGAGTGGTGGCCCAGACAAAGGTATCTGTGACAAAGTTATCCTCATGCACTATTGGGGTTGGCACTGTTGCCCATGAGGTCTCTGGCACCAGCAGGGTGAGGGGCCTGAAGCACTTGTCCTCTAATCAGCAGTGGATGGAGCCAGGGAAGGACTGGTGGTGCGAACTCAGCAACCCCTCGGTGCTGCTCACACTCACTGATGGTGGTGTGTGGTCAGAAGAGGAACAGGGTGGACCCATAGGAGCCCAGGCAGGATGCAGCAGGAACTATGGCTGTTCTTCTCTGTGGCTTTGGTGGCAATGCCTCCAAGAAAATTAGACTTCAGCTGGAGCTGAGCACAGTTCCTTTCAGCTGGAGTCCTTGCACACCTGGGGTGGTGGAACAGCTGTCACCATGGAGTTGCTGAAGTCAGCCTCAAACACACCCCTGCGGGCTGGGCAGCGGTAGAAACCACAGTGTTTCTTCCTCACCCTGTTAGTAGCAGGTAGCTGATCCTGGCACAAGAGGGAGGAGTAGCAGGAATGCTATGGGTGTCTTCATTCAGTCTTGGCATTGACCTCAGTTGACACAGGGCTGGCCATGCCTTTGGTCCCAGAATGCAAACTCTTCAGTATCCTCCTCCTTAAGGGCAGCAACCTCCCGTCTCCTCCATGTCTTAATACCCACCCCCTACAGTGGACTTGGGTTAGAATCACTTTACTTGGCCACGTTGGGTTCACAGGCACCTGCCCGCTAAGGTGGTGCAGTACTGTGTCCATGCGGCCCCAGAGATAAGAATGTATAGGAGTTTCTGACCTACAGCAGTCTGAATTCAGACAGTAGAACCCTTCTTAAGGTGACTCCTGGCTGACGCATCCTGAGGTTTACTGGGAGATGATGTGAGATCTTTTTCCATTTCCAGGATACTGCATGGATTTCAAGTTATTTATCTGAGTGGGCTCCAAGCTTATGAGGAGTGTGAAAGCTTCCAGTGTCTGGGAGCTTGCTGGAGCTCTCTCTTTCACTCTCTTCCCGCACAGGGCAGACTCCCCTTCTGCTGGCTGTGGGGCCAGTGGTGGCAGATGCTGAAGTGCTTTGTTTTTCTTTCTGTGCTGTCTCTGGCTCATAAGGTTCTAGTCCCTTTGTGTTTTCCCATTGTCATTCACGCTCATTATGAAGCTATATGTTTCCTCGGGAGAATATCAGGGGAGTTCTGGGCGCTCCCATTCAGCCATCTTGTCCTCCAAATTACTGAACAAATTTTCCTGTAGTACACTTTTTTGGGACATAGCATAATGTATTTAATCCATCTCCGCTGGATGCTACCTTTTCTCTCTTATGAACAATACCACATGCACATTATGCAGCAAATAGTTGCATGCATTCTCAGTTATATTTTTAGGGTGAATGGAGCTTTTTTGTTGCCAGAAAACCTCTTTGCCTTCACAGAGCTGAAGGAATTATTTCACTGAAGAAAATAACAAGTTGTATGAACGTGTGATTTATTGTTAGGCACTGAGTCATGCAGTTATAGAGACTGCGAGACCCAAATTCTGTAGAGTGAGCACACAGGACGGATACTCCAGAGATGGGGGACTTAGTTCAAGTCCAAGTTTGAAGGGCCAAGAACAGGAGGGCCGATGGTGTGTTTCCGGTCTGAAAGCTAGCAGGCTTGAGTGTGTAGAAGACGCAACATTTTAGTTGGAATACAAAGGCAGAGAAAAGAACCCATGTCCTAGTTTAAAGGTAGCCAGGGACCATTCTCTTTTTCCTCGGGTGAGGGTCAGCTGTTCTGTGCTATGAAGGCCTTTAACTGGCTGGGAGAGGCTCACCCACATTAAGAACTATCTGTTTTCCTCAGCCTACAGGATCGAACGTTAATGTTGTCCAAAAACACCCTCACTCAAAGACCAGTAATGGTCAGAGACCCCCGCAGTAGGTTCTGATCAGCTCAGTGCTACAACACAAGGTTAAAAGAAAAACTCGAAGAGGGAATTAAAGAGACAGAGAAAAGGGGAGCCAGGATGAACAGTGCTTTTGCCATCAAGGCTGAGTCCATGAAGGCCCGGAGCTCCCAGAGCTGTCAATTGAGGTAAAGGGGCTGCGTGGAGGGAGAGAGACGTGGAGTTGCTATGGATTTCAAATCATTTCAGTTTCTGAAAGTAATAGTAGGACTAACTGTATTTAAGAATCGCCACCCCAAGTCACTTTTTACTTGAGACTGAAATTTCATCTAAGGAGGATGAAAGAAATTTAAATCATTGAATACTTTTTAAGAAAAGAATGAGAGGCAAAACAAAACAGTGGCGTTTTTCTCTCTTCCCATAACTGATTATTGGTTACATATATCATCATTATTTAAACCTCATAATAACTGTATGGTAAGTGCCGTCCTGCAGAATTCACAGATATGGAAAACGGGTCCCTTAAATAAGAGATGAAGTAGTTTTCCCAATGTCACATGGCAGATAATCTGGTGACAAGATTTGACACAGGTTTTAAAGCTAGTGGCCTTTCCACTTCCGACAGCTCAGCAGACCGTGAAGGTTACATGGCATATTTCTGGGGTCTGAAGGACCTGGAAGAGTGCGGACTTCATTCATTAAAAATACTGGCTTTTTCCACCTTTCAAAACTGATTTGCTTTTCTTCTTCCTAAGGCTCAACAGGAGTGGGCAAAGTAATAGATTACCTTAGAAAAACGAGTAGCCAAGATTTGGAAGACAGGGACCTTGAGGAGCTGTGGACCATGCTCGACCCTGGAAAGGCAGACCCACAAGTGGATGTGGATGCTTTCCACGCTGCCGTGAAGGAGTGGATGGCGTGCTCGAGACCCAAACGGTAACGAGGGCTTGGCAGAACGTCCTTTAAGCTTCCGTTTTAATCATTCATTCGAGTTGGTGCTAGTCACTGCTCTTTTGTGTGGATGGAGCTACTGTAACCTAGTGCATCTCGCTTGTTGGCAGCCTTACAATCTCCTGAAAGATGTAATGCTTATTGTCCACCCTCCCTAGGATTTCGTAGTCTGGGATGAGGCCAATAATTTACACCCTAGCAAGTTCCTAGGTGATATCGCTGCTGCTGCAGATGAGGTGGGCACCCTTTGAGGACCACTGCCCTGTGCGTTAGTTTAGATAATGTTCATTTATTGTGAACTCCCTTCCCTGTTTTTGGTGTTACTGGGGGGCTGAATTTAGGCCCTTTGCACTGACCTACATCTCCAGCCCGTTTTTTATTTTTTAATTTTAAGGCAGTCTTTGCCAAGTCACTAAGTTGCCCAGGCTGGGCTTGAACTTGCGATGCTCCTTCCTTAACTTCCCAGAGTTCCGAGACTTAGGGGAGTGGTGGCAGGCAGTGAGTGTAATTTGAACATTTACTATGTGCTCTTCCCTGGGACCCTGTACCTACCACCGACCCTTTCAAGGAGAAGCAGCACAGCACACGGGCCTAGCGGAGGAGAGCTGATCACATCACGGTGCCCAGGAAGCCGAGAGAGAAGGGAGGAGCTGGGGAGGAGGTAACACCCTGGCAGGTCACCGCCCTCCCCTCGGTGACCCAGCTTTACTCCGAGCCCCACCAGCACGCTCTGCTGCCGAGGGGGCTTTGGAAGGTGCTTGGATCGTAGGGTGCTATTTCTGAAAAAACCTTGCCGGCTTGACGTTTGCCAGTGCAGGAGTAGACAAATCCACCTCCGTGGTCCGCCATCACCTTCCAGAGGCCCAGCCTCGGAGCGCATGAAGCTTTGGAGTGACACCGTCTGCTTAACATACAGGGAGGCTAAAGGGATAGGGAAAAGAGTGGGAGTGGAAGAAAAGCTGAAGAAAGATGGGCTTTCGTGATTTCGGGCGCCTTCGTTTTCAGGGTCAGCCCCTGCATGTGCTTCGTACCCATGAACCTCCAGCCATCGGCCAGTGCATACAAGGGATTTGCTTAAAACTTCAAGTCCTAAGAGTAGCAATACCTGCTAGACCTTTATTAGGATTAAGGGTTTTAGATGACTTAAGAAAATATGACTAAAATATCATTTGCCATATGCAGGTTAATAATTGAAGGCAAAGTAAATATAAAACAATATAGAATCTTTTATGTAAAGAAATGTAAATAAAGAGAATGCACCTGTTTTTATAATCGGTTTAATGAAGATCAACAAAGAATGATTTTTATCCCACTTTGTGGAGTATAGGGGGGCAGTATTCAACCTCTTCTACATTTTTGGTAGAAGTGCAAGTTTTTTCAAGTCCAGTTGAAGATGGGTGTGGTGGCACACGTCTTTAATCCCAGCATTCAAGAGGCTGAAGCAGGGAAACCCCTGTGGGTTTCAGGCCAGCCTGAACCATATAGTGAGATGGTCTAAAAACAAAGAACAACAACAAAAAAGACCAATTTAAGAATATATATCAGAGGGCTGGGGATTTAACTATGCCAGCGCCTGCCTCTCAAGCGCAAGGTCCTGAGTTTGATTCCTGGTACCAGAAAACAAAACAAAACAATAATATACACCATACCCTTAAAAATGTGTAGTCTCTTTGAGCTGGTAATGTAACTTGAAGAAAAATAATCATATGCTCTAATACTGTAGAGGTTGTTTGTGAAAGTGATAAATAGAAGAAACCTAGATGTTTAAAAATAGAGCAATGGACCAATAAATTATGATATGTACTTCCTAAATTGTCATTCAAAATTACTATGGGATTAATGTTTGAAAATAGAAACACTCATTGTGTTTATTTGGAATAGTTGACTAGCTATCTGTATATATTGTATAAGCCCACTTTTGTCAAGAAATGGAAATATGCCTAGGAAAAATTGGAAGAAGACAACCCATAATAATTATCTCTGCATGGTGTTTTTAAGTTTTGGGTCCACTCATAAATTTTCTAATATTTCTAAAAATTTTAAAATTTGATTATATATAGCATGTACTAGAAAATGAATAATTTCGAAGCAGTGATGGCAGAAGGAAACTTATTTTTTATAATACATTTTAAGAAAGGAAAAGGCACGGGAGGTTTCAACACAAAATATAAGAGCAGACACTCATAAAATGTTGCTGGTATATGCAGGGGACTAGAATGCTGTTTCTACTCAAGCTTCTATTAGACATCTCACATTGAAAAGTAGTGAGATTTAAATATACACTTAAACAATTTTGTGGCAGAGAGAGAGAGAGAGAGAGAGAGAGAAGCTGAAGGTTTGGTGCTTAAGATGCAGTAAAAACAACAACAACAAAACACTTCCCTGGTAAAGCGCTTGAGCCAGGGATTTAGCTCAGTGATTCTGGCACCTGCTTCACAATTGCAAAGACCCGAGTTGGATCCGCAGTACCAGGAAAAAAAAAACAACACCCAAAAAACAAACAAACAAAAAAGCCTCCCAAGATGTAGTAACAAAAGATCTTTTGCAAATGGGAAGGGATCCAAGAGGAATGGGAGGTGAAAAGAACAGAGATCTGTTATGTACACCAACTCCCGATGGTAAGTATAATCCTTATGTTCTGCTGCAAATATGTGTTTATAAAAATCAAACTTAAAGATTCAGTGACAAAAAGTTACGTTCTAAGGATTCTTTGAAGTAAAGTGGTTGAAAGTTTATTTTGGGGGTAGAGCTGGAATGTGTGCCCTGGACAGAGGGCTGGATAGAAGGTTCCCAGGTTTAGAGTGAAATGCTCAAAGTATCCTTAGTCTGGGCTCTGCTTTCTCTAGACAGACAGAGCCCCATCTGTGTATCCCGAAGTCCTACCTGATCTGGACTTTCCCTTCCCAACCTTTGAAGGTCCACTCTCTTGCTACCTGCAAAGTCCCCACTCCAAGTTATTCCAAGCTGTCTGGTCGTCATAATCCACTGGGACCCTCGTTTCCCTAACCACGTGGTGCTGTGTGTCACCCCCTGCCCGTCTCTGCGTGCGTGTTTTCTGTAGTTGATGAAAAGTTGATGGCTGGTGGAGGTAACACCTCTGTTTCTTTTCTATCAACCTAAGTTTAGTACGGGGCTCTAAGTAGTTCCTGAATGAAAAGATGGTTTTAAAATTCAGAAAGCAACACTGTAGCTGAATAAGAAAGGGTACAACACATCTTTAAACAGTGAACTAAACTTCCGGGTGGCAAGCAAGCTCACTGGTTTTGTTTTTGGCCACAGGGAAGGAGTAAAGTGCAGATTCGGTGGGATCCCTGAAGATTCTGTTTTTGAAAAGCAGGACAGCGTCAGCTCAGGTGGGGCAAGTGTGTGCACGTTTCTTTAAGATCGTTGTGCCACTTTCTTGTGGTTTTAAGAAATTTTTCACGAAGTTCTCATGTGTGTTTCAGTTGAGATGACTACAGACATAACAGATTCTGCAACAAGGAGTTTGGAGGATTTGGGTAGAGACATGTCTCAGGGAGTCCTGTAAGTGTTCTTGCTGGTAAAGCTTTTTTTTTTTTTTTTTTTTT